TGATGATGATGACGATGACGATGATGACGATGACGATGATGACGATGATGACGATGATGACGATGATTATGATGATGATGACGATGATGATGATGACGATGATGATGATGACGATGATGACGATGATGATGATGACGATGACGATGATGACGATGACGATGATGATGACGATGACGATGATGACGATGACGATGACGACGACGACGATGATGATGATGATGACGATGACGATGACGATGATGACGATGACGATGACGATGATGATGACGATGATGATATGATGACGATGATGATGAGACGATGATGACGATGATGACGATGATGCTGACGACGATGACGACGATGACGATGATGATGATGATGACGATGATGATGCCGATGACGATGATGACGATGATGATGACGATGATGACGATGATGACGATGATGACGATGATGATGACGATGACGACGATGACGATGAATGATGATGACGATGATGATGATGACGATGATGACGATGATGACGACAATGATGATGACGATGATGATGACGATGATGACGACGATGATGATGATGACGATGATGATGATGATGATGACGATGATGACGATGATGATGATGATGACGATGATGACGATGATGATGATGACGATGATGATGACGATGATGACGACGATGATGATGATGACGATGATGACGATGATGACGATGATGACGATGATGATGATGACGATGATGATGACGATGATGACGACGATGATGACGATGATGATGATGACGATGATGATGACGACGATGATGATGACGATGATGATGATGACGATGATGATGATGATGATGACGATGATGATGATGATGACGATGATGATGATGACGATGACGATGATGATGATGACGATGACGATGATGATGATGATGACGATGATGACGACGATGTCTACGATGATGATGACGACGATGACTACGATGATGATGATGACGACGATGACGACGATGATGATGACGATGATGATGATGATGACGACGATGACGACGACGATGACGACAATGATGACGACGACGATGACGACGATGATGACTATGACGACAACGTTGATGATGATGATGACGATGATCATAATTGTTTTGTTGATCTTTGTTGTACTACGCTGCGCCACGAACCCGGCGACCCGAGTTACATTCCCGCTCATGGCCACCACCAACCCCAGCGACGATTAATTATCTCAACCGGTCCCGGGCCTCCCCTAGGTCGACTCAGCCTGAAATTAGTACCTGGTGCGGTGTGTAAACATCGCCACTAGGGAGACAAAGGCGATCGGGCGTGGTGCTGGCCACCCACCCCCTCGTGTGCCGTGCCGGCCTTCATAGGTGCTCGCTAACAGCACTTGCCCCTACAGTCTGTTAAGGCTATACGGGGGATATTTGTCTTTGTGCGTGTGTGCGCGCGTACGTGTGTGTGTGTGCGTGTGCGTGCGTGTGTGTGTGCGTGCGTGTGTGTGCGTGTGTGCGTGTGCGCGCGTGCGTTTGCGTGCGTGTGTGCGCGTGTGTGTGTGTGCGCGTACGTGTGTGCGTGTGTGTGCGCGCGTGTGTGCGTGTGTGTGCGTGTGTGTGCGTGTGTGTGCGTGTGTGTGCGTGTGTGTGCGTGTGCGTGCGTGTGCGTATGTGTGTGCGTGTGTGTGTGTGCGTGTGTGTGTGTGTGTGCGTGTGTGTGTGCGTGTGTGTGTGCGTGTGTGTGTGCTGAGGGAGGGTGGCGTTTGTGCACAGACTGCCTTATATGACATCATAACAACAGTCTGGACCACTGGACGGGTTCCGCAGGACTGGAAGGATGCCCTGGTGGTCCCCCTCTTTAAGAAGGGGGACCGTACCGACTGTAACAACTACAGGGGCATCTCACTCCTCAGTGTGCCGGGTAAGGTCCTGGCAAGGATTATTCAACATCGCCTTGCTAGGCACGCTGAGGAGAGGCTTGCGGAGCCCCAATGCGGTTTCAGGAAAGGGCGGTCCTGCACAGATGCCATATTTTCTGTCCGTCTGCTACAGCAGAGGTGTAGGGAATTCCAAAAAGACCTACATCTCTGCTTTATTGACCTGGTCAAGGCCTATGATACCATCAGTAGGACTGGGCTCTGGGTTGTTCTTCGTGCTTTCGGAGTCCCTGACCCTCTGCTCACGATCATTAAGGACCTTCATGATGGTGAGCGGGCCCGGGTAAAACTACGTGGCCGGGAGTCGGAGCCTTTCCCTGTACACCTTGGGGTGCGACAGGGATGTCCTCTGGCTCCCACATTATTTAACATCTATTTTGACCGCGTAGTTCGTGAAGCCTTCAATAGCTGTACCGGGGGAATTTCCATTTGGTACAGATATAATGGGAGGCTGATCGATGCCCGGGTGAGATCAAGGGATGGCTCCCTATTGGTGAACCACGTTATGTATGCCGATGATTTGGTAATAGCTGCTCATTCAGAAGAGGAGTTGGAGACGCTGCTGCTGAGACTGGAGCGTGCCACTAAGAGGTGGGGCCTTACCATCAGCCCCACCAAAACTAAGCACCTGCCTGGGTATTTTGTACCATCGGACACTCCACCCCCACAACTCCCAATTGGTGATGGGGCAGTTGTGGAGAGAGTTGAGAGTTTCCCATACCTGGGCAGTGTGCTTATGACCGGCTCCGGTTTAACAGCAGAGGTCTCACTCCGAATCAGTCGAGCGGCAATATCTTTTCATCGGTTGCGTAACGCTGTGTGGAAGCTACCTGGTCTGTCGCTCCGCACGAAGCTTCAGGTCTTCTCGGCCACGGTCATTCCCTCCCTTCTCTACGCTTGCGAAACGTGGACCCCCCTAGTGGAGCATCTTCGCCGGTTGGAAACATTTAGGCTGGCCTGCCTACGATCCATCCTGGGTTTAACCAGGCTGGATTGTGTGAGAAGCTCACAAATCCTTGAAAGATCTGGGCAAAGTCCCATCAGGCTAGAGAAGAGATGGAGTGATGTGGTACGGGAGGACGTGGAGCTGAGTGGACTTGCCGATGACTGGTACCAGCGGTGTCAAGATCGGCCTCAGTGGAGGAGGCTCGTGAAGGACGCTACTGGGCAGTTGGAGGCAGTCGCCCTCCAACAACAACGGAGGGCGGAGGAGCGACGCTCACAACAACGAGCGGAGCGCCGGGTGGCTAAAGCACAGCAAGTTGGCACAGTAGGGGGCACAGGTGGTGCATCAGCCAGTCGTCTCGGTCATCTCAGTCAGTCGACCCGTGGCACCTGGGTCTGCCCCGTGACCTCCTGCCAGCGGGCGTTCGACACTTCACGTGGCCTCAAGGTGCACTTGGCCTGGCACAAGCATCGTGGTGACGTCACCGCCACTTAGTGGCGAATGGCGGTTGTTGTTGTTGTTGTGTGCATGTGTGTGTGTGTGTCAGGTTGCCAACGCCGTTTTCAAGCTGTCCACCGTCGCTGCGGCTACGGAGGAGTGCCGAGTGGGCCACACGCTGTGCCACTTTGAGATGGTACGAGGGGGGGGGCGGAGGAAATTCTGCCCACGCCGATGCCGATGCCGATAAAAAATAAAACATAATACATATTTTTATTGTTTCCCTTCTACGTGACTTTACGGAACGAACCAAGAATACGAATCCCTGCAGTCACGAAAGCTTTAAATCGAAATTAAAAAATTACTATTCAGAGTAATGATACGCAGTATTTCTCTTGGTTCTTTCGGTAAAGTCACGTAGAAGGGAAATAATAAAATAGTAAAAAAATAAAACATAATAAAATATTAATTGTTTTATTAATAATAATAAAATAAAAATAATTAAATATCTTTTCATGCTATATTTTTTTCTTCGCTTTATTATTTCCCTTCTACGTGACTTTACCGAACGTACCAACAATACGACTCCCTGCACTCACCAAACCTTTAAATCAAAATGTAGCAATTCTAGATTTGAAGCTTTCGTGACTGCAATGATTCATATTCTTAGGTTTTTTCGGTAAAGTCACGTAGGTAAAAACATTAAAAAGTAAAATAAAATAAAAATCACGACGTTTCGGAGGCAACACAAGCCTCCGTCTTCAGGTGGAACCGTCACAGCCACGACGGCTGTATCAAGTAAATGAGAGTTTGCAGGAGCTACCACTCCGTTTATATAATCCTTACCCCACCACCCTCTCCAACCATTATATAAACGGAGTGGTAGCTCCTGCAAACTCTCATTTACTTGATACAGCCGTCGTGGCTGTGACGGTACCACCTGAAGACGGAAGCTTGTGTTGCCTCCGAAACGTCGTGATTTTTATTTTATTTTTAATGTTTTTACCTACGTGACTTTACCGAAAAAACCTAAAAATGTAGCAATCCTGTGCGTACCTCCAGTAGCACGTCCGCCTTGCGAGACTTGTGCGAACGACGACACTTTCTTCGTCAGGGCCGCCTGCGAGACTTTCTTGAAGACGTTCTGAGCGACCGCGGCGACCGGGAAACACCGACCGTCGCCTCCGGGGACGAGGATCACCTCTGCAGGACCTCGGTGCTCATCACCATGAGTCAGCTGCTTGGCCTGGTAGGCGGGGCGGTGGACCACGACCTCCGTCTGAACCTCTGTCCCGAGCAGCCCCGCTGAGTCTCGTGCGTGGAAGCTCCAAGCAACGATACGGGTTTCTCAAATGACGCCGCGTTCACCATAGTGTGGTGGGGTAGTGAGGCGTAGGTAACCTCTTGCTTGCGGTGAGATGTTGACTGCCTCGCCTGGTGCGCAGGAGGTCGTGGGTTCGATCCCGACCCTGACGCCTGCTGCTGTATATTTTGAGTTTGCGTGTCTCTCTCTCATCATCATCACAGTGGCTGGGAGATGTTAACTAGCTCGCCTGGTGTACAGGAGGTCGTGGGTTCGATCCCGACCCTGACGATGCCTGCTGCTGTATATTTGGAGTTTGCGTGTCTCTCTCTCATCATCATCACGGTGGCTAGGAGATGTTAACTACCTCGCCTGGTGCGCAGGAGGTCGTGGGTTTAATCCCGACCCTGATGCCTGCTGCTGTATATTTGGAGTTTGCGTGTCTCTCTCTCATCATCATCACGGTGGCTAGGAGATGTTAACTACCTCGCCTGGTGTGCAGGAGGTCGTGGGTTCGATCCCGACCCTGACGCCTGCTGCTGTATATTTGGAGTCCCCGTGGTCGCGTGGATTTTTCTCCGGCTCCTCCGGTTTTTCCCCCTCCACATTTAGAACTCAACCCCGCGTGTTTTGAGTTATTTGGCCGCTCGCTCTGCATTTCCACACGACGACGACGACGATGATGATGATGAAGCCACTTGGCCGAGCTATCACTTGTGACGGCCAGGGTTGCTCCGTGAAAAAATTAATCCGTAAAAACAAAGTTTTTCACTATAAATCCTTTATATGCGTGGCGGCTAGAGTCCTCTCGTCCTCTGGCTTGAGATGGCTGCCACCTATGGGTCAGATGATTGCCTGCCACCATTAAGCAATTGGTAATTAAATATAATTTATTTTTTCCTAAAAAGTGTAAAATTTTGGAAAAAAAATTCACGAAAATAAATTGTCACGCACAACGAGTCTGTGTGCAAAATGTCAGCTCGATTGGATCACGGGAAGTGGGTTAAAAAACGACCGAAAGACTTGCACGGTCGTAAGCGCGCAAGCAAGCACGCAAGTGAACTTAATATAAAGGATTTAAAAACGAGAGCCACCCAGCAGCTCAGCGGGGGCCTTACTCGCGGTTCAGATAATTTGACCGCCGCTGTTCGTGTCCGCGTGACGACGATAAGCCACCGCCTCGCTGGGTGATGTTCACGCCGTGGCCACGGCCGCTTCAAGAAGAGCGAGTTCGCCAGCCCTCCCCGTCCACCAAACGTCGCGGGAGATTCAGCGACCGCCCGCTGACGATCTCCAACGCGGTCGAACCGCCCCTCACCGCCCCTCACTGCCCCCTCCCCTCCGTGGTTGGTCCGTCGCGCGTGGCACCAGGTGGATTTCGCGTGGCTGGCGCTGGAGAGCGGTGGCGCCGCGGTCGCAGCGGCGGAGCCGGGCGACGACAGCGACGACGACGATGGCGTCGCGGCCGTCTGGAACGCTCTGCGCGGCCTGCCCAGGCGCCCGCCGCTCCGCTCGCGATCGCCCAGCGCCGGCGCCTTCTCATCTTCTTCTCTGTCCCTCGCCGGCGGCGGTGGCGGCGGCGGCGGCGGCGGCGGCGGCGGTGGCGGCGGCGGCGGTGGCGGTGGTTCCACCCCGCCGGAGAGGAGACGCGGCGGAAGCAGCGGAAGCGGCGGCGGTTCCACGCCGCCAGAGAGGAGACGCGGCGGTAGCGGCGGCGACGCCAAGATGAGTGGAACCTCACCGGGAGGAACGCCGTCGACCAAACGGCGGCTACTTTCGCTCGGTGAGGCCCTGGGGTCGTGGGGTCGGGGTGCTAATGACCGTGTCGGAGACGCTGATCCCGGCACCGCTGGGCCGCCTGGGTTGAAATCCGGTTCTTGGCTCCTGCCTGTGGTGTGTCGGGCTGCGTCGGTTAGCCGTGAAGGCTACGCAATGCGGTGCGGGGGGGGCGGATTCTACGTGTTGGGGGGGTGGGTGTCGTCCCCAGGTTGCTGTTGAAAATTAAAGTTGATACCTCCGCGGGCTTTGGCCTGGTGGGACGAGGACGGTTTAGTTTTATTGGTGACGACGATCTCGCCCGGCTTTGCCGGAAGGACCCCGGCTCATGTGAGATCCGAGCTCGTGGAAATGCTCCACCGTGAGAGAGAGAGAGAAAATAAATAAACTCCTTAATTTTTCGATTTAAAGCTTTCGTGACTGCAGGGATTCATCTTCTTGTTGGTTCTTTCGGTAAAGTGACGTAGAAGGGAAATAATAAAATAATAAAAATAAAACATAATAAAATAATTCTCACGATGTTTCGGCCACAACGCAAGCAGCCGTCCTCAGGTGAAGAACAGGTCTGTCGAGAAGACAGCGTCTGAATGTTGCTGTCTTTCCAATAGAAGGGTAAAAATTAACCCGTAAAAACAAAGTTTTCCACTATAAATCCTTTATATGCGTGGCGGCTAGAGTCCTCTCGTCCTCTGGCTTGAGATTGGCTGCCACCTATGGGTCAGATGATTGCCTGCCACCATTAAGCAATTGGTAATTAAATATAATTTATTTTTTCCTAAAAAGTGTAAAATTTTGGAAAAAAAATTCACGAAAATAAATTGTCACGCACAACGAGTCTGTGTGCAAAATGTCAGCTCGATTGGATCACGGGAAAGTGGGTTAAAAAACGACCGAAAAATGTGCACGGTCGTAAGCGCGCAAGCAAGCAAGCGAACATAATATAAAGGATTTAAAAAAAAAACAATTATCATGACGATATTTTACCGACGCGTTCGCTCGCCCGCCTGCTCGCCGTGACGGCCGCGTGGTCGCGGCGTTGTGCAGGCAAGGCGAAGCACAAGCACTCCCTCGTGAGCCTGGTGCCTGCGGACCTCCGGGACGCGCCGACCGATCTGCTCGCCGAAGAAGTGCTCGTTGTGCCGCTGGAGGGCGCCACCGTCGCCACGCTCGGCATGAAGTCGGAGGCTCAGGTGTGTGAGTGTGTGTGTGTGAGTGTGTGTGTGTAGGTGGGAGTGTGTGAGTGTGTGTGCGTGTGAGTGTGAGTGTGCGAGTGTGCGTGTGTGTGAGTGTGTGTGTGCGAGTGTGTGTGGGTGTGAGTGTGTGCGAGTGTGTGTGTAGAGTGTGTGTGTGTGAGTGTGTGTGTGCGTGCGAGTGTGTGAGTGTGAGTGTGTGCGAGTGTGTGAGTATGTGTGTGCGTGCGTGCGAGTGTGTGTGTGCGTGTGAGTGTGCGAGTGTGCGTGCGGGTGTGTGTGTGAGTGTGTGGGTGTGTGAGTGTGTGTTTGTTCTGTTTGTATTGTTGTGTTTGTATTGTTCTGTTTGTATTGTTCTGTTTGCTTTGTCCATCCGTGTGTCCGTCTCGGAGGGGGGGGGGGGGTGGTAGGACATCATCCTTCTGACTCCTCCGCCCCATTGTGCAGATCCTGGCGGCTGAAGCGGCGAGCGAGGGGGCTACGGAGGAACGGCCGCGGGAACCCGGCGGGGAAGAGGAGACGTCGTCACGGGAGACGGAGCGGGAGGAGGAGGAGCTCCGGGAGGCGCCGGTGACCGGCAGCCAGAGCACGCTGAGCGACTCTGGTGATGAGCTTTTACACCGCAGTGGTGCGCCGTCTCGGGTTCTTTTGTTCTATTCTGTTTGTATTGTTCTGTTTGTATTGTTCTATCTTGGTTGTATTGTTCTGTTTGTATTGTTCTGTTTGTATTGTTCTGTTTGTATTGTTCTATCTTGGTTGTATTGTTCTGTTTGTATTGTTCTGTTCGTATTGTTCTGTTTGTATTGTTCTATCTCGGTTGTATTGTTCTGTTTGTATTGTTCTGTTCGTATTGTTCTGTCTGCTTTGTATTGTTCTGTTTGCATTGTTCTGGTTGTATTGTTCTGTTTATATTGTTCTGTCTGCTTTGCATTGTTCTGTTTGTATTGGTCTGTTTGTATTGTTCCGTCTCGTTTGTATTGTTCTGTTTATATTTTTCTGCGCTAGTTTGCATTGTTCTGCTTCTATTTGTTCCATCTCGTTGGTATTGTTCTATTTTCTATTGTTCTGTTTGTATTGTTCCGTCTCGTTTGTATTGTGTACGATGAGACACGCTGACTCAGCTGTGCCATCGTTCGCTAGGTGTGAGTGGCGTGTCGAGCTCAGAGGTCAGCGATGCGAGGTCGGAGGTCAGCACCGTGGATCTGGATGCAGGAAAGAATCTTGGTAAGTCGCTGAGTGGAATCGCCATCATCTTCATCATCTTCACCTTCGTTATCATCAGCAGCATGACCAGCAGCATCATCGTCAGCAACAACAGCATTATCGATCTTGCATGGAGCCCCAGGCCGAGGGAGATTGACAGTTCTTTTTTATTCTTAGGTTTTTTTCGGTAAAGTCACGTAGGTAAAAAAAAACATTAAAAAGTAAAATAAAATATTTTATTTTACTTTTTAATGTTTTTTTTACCTACGTGACTTTACCGAAAAAACCTAAGAATATGAATCATTGCAGTCACGAAAGCTTCAAATCTAGTTCTTTTGTGTTTCTTCCATTTGAGAATAATCGCACTAACTGTTGTCACCTTCTCACCAAGCTGCTTGGCGATGGTCTTGTAGCCCATTCCAGCCTTGTGCAGGTCTACAATCTTGTCCCTGACATCCTTGGAGAGCTCTTTGGTCTTGGCCATGGTGGAGAGTTTGGAATCTGTCTTTTATACAGGTAACAAGCTGAGATTGGGAGCATTCCTTTTAAGAGTGTGCTCCTAATCTCAGCTCGTTACCTGTATTAAAGACACCTGGGAGCTAGAAATCTTTCTGATTGAGAGGGGGTCAAATACTTATTTCCCTCATTAAAATGCAAATCAATTTATAACATTTTTGACATGCGTTTTTCTGGATTTTGTTGTTGTTATTCTGTCTCTCACTGTTCAAATAAACCTACCAGTAAAATTATAGACGATTAATTTCTTTGTCAGTGGGCAAATGTACAAAATCAGCAGGGGATCAAATACTTTTTTCCCTCACTGTATGAAGGGGGCTTTTCACTGCATTTGTTTTTAAATCCTTTATATTAAGTTCACTTGCTTGCTTGCTTAGGACCGTGCAAATCTTTCGGTCGTTTTTAACCCACTTCCTGTGATCCAATCGAGCTGACATTTTCCACACAGACTCGTTGTGCGAGACAATTAATGTTCGTGCAAAATTTTTCCCAAAATTTTACACTTTTTAGGACAAAAATATAATATTTAATTACCAATTGCTTAATGCTGCCATGCAATCATCTGACCCATAGGTGGCAGCCATCTCAAGCAAGAGGACGAGAGGACTCTAGCCGCCACGCATATAAAGGATTTATAGTGAAAAACTTTGTTTTTACGGGTTATACTTATTTTCCTTTCCCTCCATCAGCAACGAGGCCTCTCCGCGTCTGCTCAGCCCCGGTCATGCGACCGTCGATGAGGTTGAAGCTCTTCGACGAGGGACAATCGTCGTCGTCGTCGCCGCCTTCCGCCCGTGACCACGACCACTCCTCGTCCGACGTTCCGACACCCACCCCTTCCGCCTCCTCCTCCTCCTCCGCCGTGACGCGGCGAGCCGTGAGCGACGCGAGCTGGAACCGGCCGGGGAACCGGACCGCGATGTTCGTCGACCCGGAGGCGATGCTGCTCCTGGTTTCCGGAACGCCCGGAGCGGCCGGGACGGCTGCCATCGCCGCCGCGTCGTCCGCTCCGCGTGCCGCCCCGGGTCTCCCCGAGCTGTCGCACTCTCCGGAATCCATCCCGGACCTCGGGGACTTCACGTTGCTCACGTTGGAGGATTCCGGGAAGTCGACGTCCTCCGAGCAGGTTTTTTTTTTTTTTTTTTTTTTCCGGCCTTCGCAAACGCTACCGTTGTCGAACCGTAGCCAAGCAACGCGACTGAAACGTACAACGGGGGAACACAGAACGACCCGGGTGTTTGTCTCCAGGCTCTTGTCTCTCTCTCTGCGCGGCTTGTCTCTTGCCCCAGATTTCGACGCGGTTGACTTTTTTTTCGGGTTGCCCCCCATTTTTCTTTTCGACGTTTATTTTGTTTCCGCTGAAGCCGGGGGCGTCCCTCGTTTCGCCAATGGGAACCGTCCCCCCCCCCCCCCCCACCCCGATGTCCGTCATTCCGCGTGCCTACCTGCCTGCCGGTTCAACGCTGAAGTCGAACTCGCGTCGCCGACCGACCCAACGACTGACTGACTAAACATTTTTTAAAAACCTGCGCCGCATCCATGAACGAATTGGCGATTCGGATTCAATTCGGGCCTCTAATTGCCGCTTTCGATCGGACAGGCAATCAGCCCCGGCTCGTGCGTTAAACGGCTCATGGTCGTTAGCGGAGCGAGTAGGGAGGGTGGGGGGGGTGTAGGGAGGTGGGGGAGCGGGGTGAGCGGTGTGGGGGGTGGGTGGCTGCCGTCGATCCGTCTGCATCGGCGAGAGGCTAAATCAGGCCTCCACCCCCATCCCCCCCGTCGCCCACGCCCGACGCTTCACCGTGACGGATTGACCGGCGATCGTTTTCCCAGACACCCGTGCGTCTGTGAGGGAACAGCCCACGTGGAAGCGGATATCACAGACCTGCCTCTGAGATCCTTCTTCTTCAAGTGGGCCACACGGAATGTCCCGCAGAAGTAGACATCACAGACCTACCTCTGATATCCCTTCTTCGTCAAGTGATGCTTTGGGCCACACGGAATGTCCCACAGAAGTGGACATCACAGACCTACCTCTGAGATCCCTTCTTCGTCAAGTGATGCTTTGGGCCACACGGAATGTCCCACAGAAGTGGACATCACAGACCTACCTCTGATATCCCTTCTTCGTCAAGTGATGCTTTGGGCCACACGGAATGTCCCGCAGAAGTAGACATCACAGACCTACCTCTGATATCCCTTCTTCATCAAGTGATGCTTTGGACCACACGGAATGTCCCGCAGAAGTAGACATCACAGACCTACCTCTGATATCCCTTCTTCGTCAAGTGATGCTTTGAGCCACACGGAATGTCCCACAGAAGTGGACATCACAGACCTACCTCTGATATCCCTTCTTCACGTGATGCTTTGAGCCACACGGAATGTCCCACAGAAGTAGACATCACAGACTTACCTCTGATATCCCTTCTTCATCAAGTGATGCTTTGAGCCACACGGAATGTCCCACAGAAGTGGACATCACAGACCTACCTCTGAGATCACTTCTCCTCCTTCAAGTGATGCTGTGATCCGCTCAGAGCAACCCACGGATATCGCAGAGAGACCACCGAGATACCTTTCCTCTCAGTGACGCTTTGGGCCACACGGAATGTCCCACAGAAGTGGACATCACAGACCTACCTCTGAGATCACTTCTCCTCCTTCAAGTGATGCTGTGATCCGCTCAGAGCAACCCACGGATATCGCAGAGAGACCACCGAGATACCTTTCCTCTCAGTGACGCTTTGGGCCACACGGAATGTGCCACAGAAGCGGACATCACAGACCTACCTCTGAGATCACTTCTCCTCCTTCAAGTGATGCTGTGATCCGCTCAGAGCAACCCACGGATATCGCAGAGAGACCACCGAGAAACCTTTCCTCTCAGTGACGCTTTGGGCCACACGGAATGTGCCACAGAAGCGGATATCACAGACCTACCACCGAGAAACTTTTCCTCTCAGTGATGCTCCGGTCTCCTTCTTCAAGGGACCTCTGCTCCACGTACACCAGAGGGCAGCACTTACCCACCTGCCCTGCCGCACGAGAGAATTCTTCATGAAATGTTCATATTCTTAGGTTTTTTCGGTAAAGTCACGTAGGTAAAACATTAAAATTAATAAAAGTAAAATAAAATAAAAATCACGACGTTTCGGAAGCAACACAAGCTTCCGTCTTCAGGTGGTACCGTCACAGCCCGACAGCTGTATCAAGTAAATGAGAGATTGCAGGAGATTCCACTCTGTATATATAATGGTTGAGGGGAGTGGGGAGGGGCAGGGATGGGCCACTCTTTATTATTATATATACGGAGTGGTATCTCCTGTAATCTCTCATTTACTTGATACAGCTGTCGTGGCTGTGACGGTTCCACCTGAAGACGGAAGCTTGTGTTGCTTCCGAAACGTCGTGATTTTTATTTTATTTTACTTTTATTAATTTTAATGTTTTACCTACGTGACTTTACCGAAAAAAACCTAAAAAAAAACCTAAGAATATGAATCCTTGCAGTCACGAAAGCTTCAAATCTAGAATCTTCATGAAATGTGTGCCCAGCCAATATCAAGGCCTTGCTCCTGCACGTGTAAGAGTGATACTCGTGTGTATTTACACGATTGGAACCTCATTTGCCAGTAAAAATATGATAATTGTGTTTTTACCCTTTTATCTGGCAACAAAACTGACACCTTTTTTACGAGGAGTCATGTTTGCATAGACCACAATACCTGCAGTCGTAATGCAAACAAAAAACACAACTCTGATAATGTATGCACTGTCCTTGAAGTTAATTGGTCATCTGGTCCAACACCATGTGAGACTCGGCTCTAAGGAAAGCTGTCTCGGGTGTGGACCAATCAACTTCAAGGAAGTGCATACATTATCAGAGTTGTGTTTTTGTTTGAATTATGACTGCAGGTATTGTGGTCTATGCAAACATGACTCCTTGTAAAAAAGGTGTCAGTTTTATTGCCAGATAAAAGGGTAAAAAACCAATTATCAGTCGTGTGTATGTTGTATGTATTATGGGGAGCGGTAGTGCGCTGCTCTATGAACCCGGCGACCCGAGTTCGATTCCCGCTCACGGCCAACACCGGTGACGATTATCTGAACCGGTCCTGGGCCTCCCCTAGGTCGACTCAGCCTCAAATGAGTACCCGGTGCGGTGTGTAAACATCGCCACTGGGGAGACAAAGGCGGTCGGGCATGGTGTTGGCCACCCACCCCCTCGTGTACCGTGCCGGCCTTCATAGGTGCTCGCTAACAGCACTTGCCCCTACAGTCTGTTAAGGCTATACAGGAGGTCTTTGTATGTACAGTGAGGGAAAAAAGTATTTGATCCCCTGCTGATTTTGTACGTTTGCCCACTGGCAAAGAAATTAATCGTCTATAATTTTAATGGTAAGTTTATTTGAACAGTGAGAGACAGAATAACAACACAAAAATACAGAAAAAATGTTATGAATTGATTTGCGTTTTAATGAGGGAAATAAGTATTTGACCCCTCTGCAAAACATGACTTAGTACTTGGTGGCAAAACCCTTGTTGGCAATCAGAGGTCAGACGTAGAACTTCTTTCACAAATGTGCATAGCCGACTGTGCTAATCAGAGGTGCAGTGTTGAGTCTATGGTGCAGTGTTGAGTCTATGGTGCAGTGTTGAGTCTATGGGCAGTGTTGAGTCTATGGTGCAGTGTTGAGTCTATGGTGCAGTGTTGAGTCTATGGTGCAGTGTTGAGTCTATGGGCAGTGTTGAGTCTATGGTGCAGTGTTGAGTCTATGGTGCAGTGTTGAGTCTATGGGCAGTGTTGAGTCTATGGTGCAGTGTTGAGTCTATGGGCAGTGTTGAGTCTATGGTGCAGTGTTGAGTCTATGGTGCAGTGTTGAGTCTATGGTGCAGTGTTGAGTCTATGGGCAGTGTTGAGTCTATGGGCAGTGTTGAGTCTATGGGCAGTGTTGAGTCTATGGTGCAGTGTTGAGTCTATGGTGCAGTGTTGAGTCTATGGGCAGTGTTGAGTCTATGGGCAGTGTTGAGTCTATGGGCAGTGTTGAGTCTATGGTGCAGTGTTGAGTCTATGGTGCAGTGTTGAGTCTATGGGCAGTGTTGAGTCTATGGGCAGTGTTGAGTCTATGGTGCAGTGTTGAGTCTATGGGCAGTGTTGAGTCTATGGGCAGTGTTGAGTCTATGGGTAGTGTTGAGTCTATGGGCAGTGTTGAGTCTATGGGCAGTGTTGAGTCTATGGGCAGTGTTGAGTCTATGGGCGGTGTTGAGGCTATGGGTAGTGTTGAGTCTATGGGCAGTGTTGAATCTATGGGCAGTGTTGAGTCTATGGGTAGTGTTGAGTCTATGGGCAGTGTTGAGTCTATGGGCGGTGTTGAGTCTATGGGCGGTGTTGAGTCTATGGGCAGTGTTGAGTCTATGGGTAGTGTTGAGTCTATGTGCAGTGTTGAGTCTATGGGCAGTGTTGAGTCTATGGGCAGTGTTGAGTCTATGGGCAGTGTTGAGTCTATGGGTAGTGTTGAGTCTATGGGCAGTGTTGAGTCTATGGGCAGTGTTGAGTCTATGGGCAGTGTTGAGTCTATGGGCAGTGCTGAGTCTATGGGCAGTGTTGAGTCTATGGGCAGTGTTGAGTCTATGGGCGGTGTTAGTCTATGGGTAGTGTTGAGTCTATGGGCAGTGTTGAGTCTATGGGTAGTGTTGAGTCTATGGGCAGTGTT